CATTTCTACAGCCTAACCCTGACCATCGGTCATCCAACCAGTTCCTCTTAGATGTTCCTGGATCCAGACTAAAGTTCAGAGGTGATCGGGCCTTTGCAGTTTCTGACCCAAACCTTTGGAACGATTTACCTCTTAGCATTCAGACTGCTGAGACTGTTGAGACTTTTAAATCTCTACTTAAAACTCACTTTTACTCCCTGGCCTTTCATTCTGGTAGAGTTTGAGATTCTTTTAATGATGATGTTTTTAATGTTTTTCTGTATTTTAAATTGATTTTATTGTCTACATTTATGTGTTGCTCTGTTTTATTCATTTGGCTTAATTGTGAAGCACTTTGGTCAACTTTTGTTGCTTTTTATGTGCTATATAAATAAGCTGACATTGACATTGATATTGACATTGAATCAGTGAATCGATTTATGTAAGTCTGTAGCATTTTCTGAGTTTTTAACTCGAACCAGGGAATCTATTCATGAGTCTGCAGTGTTTTCTGTGAGGCTCTAACTTGAATCAGTGAATCGATTCATCTGAGTCTGCAGCATTTTCTGAGTTTTTAACTGAAATCAGTGAATCGGTTCATGTAAGTCTGCAGCATTGTCTGATTTTTAATTTGAATCAGTGACTCGATTCATCTGATTCTGCAGTGTTTCCTGTGAGGCTCTAACTTGAATCAGTAAATCGATTCAAGTCTGCAGCATTTTCTGAGTTTTTAACTTAAATCAGTGAATTGATTCGTGTAAGTCTGCAGCCTTTTCTATGAGATTATTACTTGAATCAGTGACTCTATTTATCTCAGTCTGCAGTGTTGTGATTTTTTTTAAGTTGAATCAGTTACTTGACCCATCTGAGCCTACAGTGTATTTTTTTTAACTGAATTAAAAAGGACTCATGTGAGTCTGTAGCGTTGTCTGAGTTTTAAACCTGAATCTGTGACTCGATTCATCTGAGTCTGCAGCATTTTCTGTGAGTTTTTGACCTGATTCAGGTCAAGGATTCGAATCATTAACCTGGGTGAGTCGTTAACAAACCAGCGGAACTTGGTTATAAAACAGAACTCAGCTCTGTGATMATAAAGAAAAGCAGAGTTGATGTATAAAACCAGAATTCTTCTTGAGTAAAACAAAACAAAGAAGCAGAACATTTGAAACACCTAAAAATATTAAAAAGCGGTAAAYGGACCTCTGCAGGCTGGATTCAGGCAGGCAGCCGGCGAAGCAGCGTTTGAACCAGAGGCTGTACGGCAGCAGGGGCAGCGCTCCCACACTCTTCAAGTGAGTCAGGAGCCGAGGTTCCTCCTGACTCAAGTAATGCTCCAGACTCTTCGGCTGCAGACCAAATAAAATACATTATTTATTTTAGTACAAAAGTGTGTTTTTTATTTAAACCATGAGAAACACTAACCAGGTGAGGTATGGAGTCTCCAAACCTCATATGGAACTGATGAATGAAACATTTTATCAGCCAGTAGCAGTCGACGGGATCGTCAACAATCTCCTCCATGGCTCGACTGATGGACAGGAAGTCTTCGTGTTCTTCATCCTGAAACGTCAAATTAAAAGTCTCTGCGGGGTTTGTTTCTGCGTCGAAGCTGAGACGAGTTTCCTACCGGAGGGAGGGTCTCGGAGCAGCGTGGGAGGACCTGGGTCTCCAGCTGGAACATGCGCAGGTAGACGTGGGTGGAAGGCGTGGAGGGACGGACGTACCTCATGACCTCCAGAGCCTCCAGGATGTCCTGGTACTGCTCCTTCCTGTAGCCTCCAACCAGGGCGTGGGAGTCACTGTGGGGCGGGAGGACGCCTGCCAGGAACCAGGAGAGCCGGAGAACGGGTAAAAATGTAAAGAATTTAAATTTAATTAAACGAATAAACAGTTTTCTCTGGTTTACATCCATCCATCCATCCATCCATCCATTTTCTTCCGCCTATCTGG